CCTCTCCCTGTTTGTGGCCTGGGAAAGCAGTCAAGGAAGACCCAAGGCCTTGGGACCCTGTACCTGTGTGGAAGACCTGGAAAAGGCTCCTGCCTTCAGATCAACTCAATTCCTGTTGTTGTGGCCACTTAGGAAGTGAACCTGTAGACAGAAGATTTTCCTCTGTCTCTCCTCTCTGCATATCTAACTTTGCAATAAAAATAAATTTTTAAATAAGAAGATTGATTTTTATTTGAAATGCAGATTTACAGAGAAGGAGAGAATAAGAGAAAAAGAGCTTCTGTCTGCTGGCTCACTCCCCAGTGGCCACAATGGTTTCAGCTGAGCCAATCTGAAGCCAGGAGTCAGGAGCTTCTTCCTGGTCTCCTACATGGATACAGGGGCCCAAGGACTAGAGCCATCTGCTGCTCTTTTCCCAGGCCATAAGTAGGGAGCTGGATCGAAAATTCATGGTGCCTATATGGGATCCTGGTGCTGTGGGTGGAGGATAAAGCTGTTGAGCTAATGTGCCAGCCCTAATATTTTATTAAGATAGAAAATATTGCAATTACAGACTAAAATCTTGTTTAATGCTTCTTGAAATTTTAGTAGTTTTAATAAATTTGATGTGTATCCTTATCTACATTTAGATTATATATAATCTCTATATATTTGATATATCTACATATTATCTAATTTACAATGAAATGTACATCCACAAATTTTTCCTTTATTATTATTATTATTTTTATAATCTTACATGGTTAATTAGGGTACAAAGTCAAGGGCTATAGGAAAGTGGGTAAGACCATTGTTTCCACACTAATATCATCATTTTTTTCCCTGTATCTGGGGTCAGGGGAGAAACAAAGAGAAGCCACACCCAGCCTCCCACCCATCCCAGGTCCCTGATGTGGGCATGCTCCAAGGGTCTTGCTCAAGCAGTTTTGATAGTTCAACAGTTCTGAACTGCTGCCAATCTCGCCATTCCATGCACGATGAAATCTCTTCAGAATCCACTGACTGACATGTCTCTTCATGGCTGGGGTTCTGAGATCAGCAGTTCAGTTGGAGGGATCTTCAAAGAAACTTTGTCTGAGATGATCTGAAACCTGATTCTTGTGTGCTTGCCAGTACAAGGTCCGGCACAGTCTGTGGCCCCAGTTACCTTATGCACACGCTGGTGGTTGCAATTGCTGGGTCAGTTCTGTTTCCAGCGCTGTCTTCCACGTCAGCCAATGGGTGTTGCAGTCCAACCCGATTCTGCCTACTTCATACTCGGTCATGCAAACCAGTGGGAACTGCAGTCTAGTAGGGATGACTCCTCATAACCCCCACCAGTCCTGCCTCCTACCTCAGACTTGTTCAGTCTGTTTCACATCCCATTTAGCTTTTGTACATGTCAATGGGTAATGAAGCCTAGTTCAACCCAACCTGCCTTACCATCCAGCCCACACACATACTGGCGGGTGCTGTTCTGTCTAGCCACCCCTGCCCCAATACTAGTTTTTGTGTTCTCCTATGGGAGTGGTAACCCAAGAGGGAGGTGCTCACTATTTCCCTACTAGGTTACTCCCACTCCCTGATTATGTACTCTCCAGGTGGTTCTGGAGTTTAACTTGACAGATTTAGCCCCAGTACCAGCTTCTGCCAGCAGATGCTGTGGAAAAGCCCAACCAACCCTCACCCACTCTAATATTTGCTTGCACCAGTTGGAAAAGTCAGCCCAATCTGGCCCTTTCCCAATCCAGCTCACATGAGGCCCACAGGTGTTGTAGCCCTGCCTGGTTTGGTCTGCTCCCATCCCAGCTCACGCTCTCAGGTGGGAGTGGTTGTCCAGCAGGGGAGCCCACATTCCCCCTGCAGGCTTTGCCCCCTCACTCCCTGGTTCTCACGTGTGCTATTTGGGTGCTGTAGCCACATCTGTTACAGCTCACCTCACCTTGGCATTCCGTAATGTGCACTGGCTTATGTTGCAACCAAACCCAGCCCAACCCACACTTTATTCTAGTGCTCGGATTTGCCAGCAGGTGATGTGAACTGGTTCGACCTGGTCTGCCCCCAACCTATGGCAAATGTATGCCAGTGGGTATCTTTCCCTGACCCTATCATGGTTCTTGCACTCACCTACCAGCAAACTTTTACTGAAATATAGTAAAAGTATCTCTTTAGCTACAGAGATCGTCTGCTATACGTTTTTTTAAACTGAAGCTCATAGGCCCTCTTTGATGAGATTTCAGTGTCTGTGGGTATGAATTTTTTCTACGGAAAGGGCCAAAGCTTTGACTATATTCTCAGAGATACATGCTGGTTACGTGTCCTTTGAGGACTGAGAGAGTTTATGGTCTAGTTCCACTTCCTCATTTGACATTTAAAGAGATTGAGGTCAAAGTTAAGTAATCCATACAAAATCAGAGCTACAATTGAGTCTGTTCATAGACCCAGGACTATGTTTATTGCCTTTTTAGAACACCACATTGCCTGGGTTTTATGCTTGTTCACTTATTGATTTCTCATACAACATAATGCATATCAGATTTCTTTCAGTTTTTGGTCTAGGTGGATTTTTTTTTTTCCTTTTCACTGTTATCCATTGCTGCTGAGGATGTGTTAAAGTTTGTGCATTCCTATGGTGGAACTGTAGATTGCTATCATCTTTTGGAAAGTAAGGTGAGATTATCACCTGTCAATAAAACATTCTTAGCCTTTTGGCTCAGAAATTTTTATATTGAGAAAAGATGCTAAATTTCCCTTAAAGGCCCCATGTACAAAATGTATTGCACAGTAGTAGAAGGTACCTACTTGTAGTATAATAGATAAATCATGGTATACCTACTCGTTGACGACCTTGTGGACAGTTGTTAACAATGGCTCTTAAAATGTTCAATTATTGGAGGAAATGCCTACAATGTAAAATTGGGAGCAAAAAGGGTTATAAAATCTACTGTCAGGGCCAGCATTGTGGCACCTGTGTTGCCCCAACCCGTATGAGCGCCAGTTCAAAACCTGCGGTTAAACAGGTGATTTTTAAAAAGTAAAAATGTTGTTATTAGCTCCATGTCCAATGAATATAACAAATCTATATTTCAAGATTGATTTTCAATTATAAGTTGATTGATTATACGTGCAAATCAGCTGATCAAACATCTATTTGACTTTCACAAACAGAAGCTGATCTTTGAATTGTTCTTAAGAAAACAGAATTAGCTTCTGTATTTTTCTGTCAAAATCATTTTATAATCATGTTTTGAAACCCAAAGAAAGGCTTACTTTTCCATGTATTGATGTTTAAATTAGTTTTAAAAAGAATTAGTTGAAAGGAAGAGAGAATCGTCCACCTGCAGGAGCCAGGCTCTCCCTCCTGGCCTCCCATATAGGGAAGTCCAAACATGTGAGCCATGATCTGCTGCCTTCCCCTGGCACATTAGCAGCGAGCTGACCAGGAAGAACAGCCAGGACTTGAACCTATGCTGCAACATGGGATGCTGATGTCACAAGCTAGGGCTTAATCTACTGTGTCATAACACTCATAAATTGATTTTAAATATTTCTTAATATAGGGTCTGCTTTAGGATATTGTCATATGCTCTCATTTCAATATTCTATTTAGTAGAGGCCAAATGCAATTCGTTACCAGTTTACACGCAGACACACACGCACACTGCAGCTTCTGCCCTTGGTCAATATACATTTATAGTGACTTATAGAAATACCCGAGTCTACACACGAACCAAACCAGTAGGGGGCGAAATACAATAGGAAAATTTGACAAGTCTTATAAGATTGTCAGGGACTTAAGCAGTAAAAAAAAAAAAAAAAAAAATCCAGCATCACCACAAAGCCCTTGGCCCTCCGCTTTAAAGTCATGCGGTTTCCGTGTGCTTTACAGCAATTGAGTTGTAAGGAGGCGAGCCTGCTTCAACGCTCCAACTTAATTTGTCTATCACATTGCAGGGGCGGGATAAGCCGTGATGAACTGCTATTGTCCTTATCTTGCCCCTGAATTGTATCATTCCTCCACCCAAAGGGACGGGCACTTCTCTATGGCTCAGGGTATTTTGCATTCTTGTTTCCTGCTGTAGTCGCTGGGCTTGGCTGCCTTGAACTACATTTTAAATTATTGAAATCACTGATACAGAGGTTGGGCATAACAGGGACCCAAGAGGGGATATGATTTACAGAGCGGGACCCCGAGGCTCATTCTCATCCTGTAGGGTTTGTAGTCAGATTTTCATAGCAGCCCAGGTTCTGACGGACATGTACGGTAAAGGACGGAGAAAGGCTGGAACTTGTGGGTGAGCTAAATGCACGGCTTGATTTGACGTTTCAAGTTTCACCGGCGATTCTTCTGCAAGGAGCTAAGAAAAACAGCCACACTGCTCCATCCGTTAGCAAAATTCTAATGATTTTGTTGAAGACTGGCAGTTCCGGCGGCTGCTCACCTTAAGTTCGATTTGTAGCCATCTCTTCTTTATGACTTGTTAAAGAGCCGTTTGCTCCTCGTTGGCTTACATAGAAAAGAGCAAGGGACTGGCGGATGAAAAACTCATTTTCGGGGCGAAAAGGACAAGCTGGTAAAAATATCCTCTGGTTGGTTTATGGTAGGGAACATCTGGTTCCGTTTTTCCAAACCCATGCAATTTTAATTAAAGTCTTAATTCGGTCCTGAGCTGATCACTAATTTCAAAGACCTGAGAACGGTTCCTTACTCCTGGCCGTAAGCGCAGCCGCCTCAGACAGCCGAGGACCGGAGGACGTCTCGCCCACAGCTCGGTGACTCGCAAGGAAGTCAAAGGAAAGGGCAAGCTTGCCCGAACCCAAAATGGCGGCGGGCGCTCGGCGCCACGGCGCCTGCGCGGGGGTAAGCGTTCTGTGACACTGATTCCCCTGGAGTATCTTCCCCCCCAGCACCCACCAGCGCCCGGCCCCGACCTAGCCACCTGCGCCCGGAAGTGACGTGTCGGTGGCAGCGGTTCCCCCGCTGCATGATGGGAGCGTGTGTGGAGTGGGCGGGGGGTCTCCGCGGAGGAGGCGGCGGCGGCGGAAGAGGGCGGAGGGTAGTGGGATGGGGGTCCCGCGGCAGCGCTGAAACTCCGGGTGGGCGTCCATGGCGCTGCTGCGGTGACAGGGCTGCGCACAGCCAGCCTTCCGCTCGCACCAGCTCTGCGTCGGAGAAGCCGGTCCGTCCCCGGGGAGCCAGTTCCTCCCCGGGCCCCTGAGCCATGCCCATCGCGGCCGCCCCAGACGAGCCAGGTAAAGCGCTGCCGCTCCGCTTCCCCGAGCCGCGCGGGGCGGGGAGGGACGGTGCGGGGCCTGGGCCTGGCCCCCTGGCGGGACCCCCGGGCTGCCCCGCCAGCACCTGCCTGCTGGCCGCGGAGGAGCGGTCGGCTGTGCGGGCCTGCGGGCTTGGGCGCCGGGTGCGGGCACGCAGCTGGCGGCGCCCGAAGCGCCCCTTCGCGGGGAACCGGACACCCCGGCCGGGGAAGTGCGAGCTGTTCGCTGCCCGGCCTCTGCCGGCTCGCCCGACCCCTCGGCTTCCACCTGCCCGCCGCCCGGTCCCGGCCGCTCCCTCTCGGGAGCTGTGGAGAAGTTTGGGGCACGGCTCGGGCTTCCTCTTCCTCCCTCCGCCTCCCTCGTGACAGGTGTAAACACTGCTTGCCTGGCCGAGGCCCGAGGCCCGAGGCCCGCGGCGGGTCGGAGTGGGCGGCTTCCACCGGGGTCCCGGAAGCTAGCGGGTCTCGAATCCCCCAGCCGGCGGAGGAGAGAGCCCCCACTCACCCACCCCCAAAGCTAGCTCATCCCTTCTCTGAGAGGACCTGAGGTGCCCTCTTCTTGGGCGCCTCAAGAAATAATCTGCGTATCCTCCTCAAATTGCGTTCGAAAAGTTGGGACCATCGCTCTGTAAGCGCCGGGCTTGGCAGGTGCTGCGTGTTGCTTGGGGCGTGGGACGGAGTGAAGAGTCCTTTCCAATTAGAAGAGGGGTAGAAGTAGTCACATTTATTTCTCTGTTGGTTTGTGCAAGTTACAGCTTGGTGTGCCCACCCCACCCCCAGTGTTCTATTGGGGCTGAGGGAAGGGGGTGACTCAGACATGTAAATAATTTGGGGTGAGGGGGGACAAAAGCGATAGTTGCGTTGCAGAGTTCTCGCTGTAGGAGAAGTAGAACTTTACTTTTGAACTTTTTCCTATTGTGTAAATCTGCCCTTCCGCTTTTAAATGTCTTACTCCGAATTTGGGGGTGTGGGTGCGGAAGCGAGCAGCCAAAGCTGGAGTGGTGAACAGATCTTTGGTGTTCCATGTAATTGTTGCTTTCAGTTAACTTCTTGGAAATAGTAGGATATGCTAAATTCTAGGGGAACTGCGATTGAGCACTGTTGTGTTGATATAATAAGTACAATTTGCTTGCACTTAAGGAATTCATAGTAAATGTTGGCTTTTGTGGTCGTCATTTTTAACACTGCAGGAAGTATGTGTTTAAACCAAGTATCTGGGGTCACTTCTAAATTTTGTTCGTAAAGATACTTCGTGTGGATTAAAAGATTTTGTATGAAATCTCTAACCCGGTAAATGGCACCTAGATGTTTCTCTGTGTATCAAGTTAGATCAACTAGCCATCAAAGCATAGAAATATTTTGAAATCTTTAAAAATCTCTTTAAGGAAATTCACTAGAATTCAGCTATTATTCAGGACATGTAAGTTTGGTGGTTTCTGGCTTTTTGACCTAGAATTTGCCTTAAAATTGTCTTGTATCAAAGCAGAGATAATGTGTCTATAATTACGTTGATAAATTTTGCAGAATCCAGTTGTCCATAACACTCATGTAATCAAGGTGCATCCTGTTTAAAATACCATTTTGAATGTTGATTTGTTTTACTAAGAGTTGGGAAGAAATGGTTAAGGGGTGAAATTTGAGTACTGCGTCATGTTTTATTTTGTGTGACCCCTAAAGTGCCTCTTTGGAAGGCAGAGAAGGCCTTATCTATACCATCTTATTAAAACATTGCTTTTTCTGCCCCATCCCTCTCCTCAAAACTCATGAAAAGTCACTAAGTGTTTAGAAAATTCAAAATTATTAAGTATTTAGATCAGCTGTTCATACTCTGATGTTACAATGGATTGTAAACTTAAAGACTTTAAAATTTAAGATTTACTCTATCTACCTGAAAGGCAGAGTTACAGAGAGGGAGTGTGGGGGAGAGAGCCACGGAGATTTTCTCTCCCGGAATGGCTGCTGCTGCTGAAGCTAGGCCCAACTGAAGCCAGGAGCTTCTTCCAGGTTTCCCACATGGCAACAGAGGACCAGTCCTTGGGCAATCCTCCACTGCTTTCCCAGATGCATTAGCAGGTGGGTTAAAAGTGGAACAGTTGGTTCAAACCAGCATCCATATGGGATGCTGGCATCACAGGCGTTGACTTAACACGCTATGCCACAACACAGGCCCCGACCCCTTTCTCTCAGTGCTTTCATTTCCTCTTTTTGTAGGCTAGTGAGCCTTTCCAGCCTGAACTTCATAAGCATATTTCATTTTTATGCAGTTTTGGACATATCTGTCATGGATTTTACATGTCATTTTGGTAATCTTTCTGCATGAGCATATGTGTATGTGTGAAAATACCATAATCACAGATCCTTTTGCAACTTTATATGATAACAGCTAACACTTGTATTCAGTGCTTCCTATGAACGAGGCGATTTTCTCAACGCTTTTGTTGCACTGTGTCAGACTCACATAATCCTCACATCAGCTCTCCAAGGAGAAGGTAGTATTGTCTTCATTTTGCAGAGCAGAAACAGATGAATAGGTACGTTAACTTGCCTACGGTCAGACAGCTAATCCATGAGCAGGATATAACGTGATGCCATGTGTATAGTTTTAATACATGTGAAATGTACTGTTTGAGTGGCAGCATATGTGCAGAGTAGTGACATCGGCACCAAGTAAGCTTGACGGTTGCTGCTGGAGAACTGGCGAGGAGCAAAGGGCTGATGAGGAGAGCGCTTTTTACCCAGCTCTTTCCCGTCTTCCAGGCCGAGATAGTTTGCATAAGCGGTGAAGCAGCTGCAGCTGGGTACTAGGCACTTGCTCATTCTTCCCTTTCTCCCCCTAAGCTTCGCTGGTGTGCTTGAAATCCTTCATAATAAAGCTGAGTATTTATCTTTAATGCTGGGATAAACTATCACCCAACTTTGAGTATTATATGTTTTTGTTATTGTTTTAATTTGAGAGGAAGACTGCAGATGTGCTGTGTGGGTGGTAGAAGCCCGAGTTGTTGAAGGCATCACCACTGCCTTCTAGGGTCTGGTTAGCAACAGCCGGCTTCAGGAGCTGGAAATTGAATCCAGGCACTAATATGGAACAGGGACATGTTACCTGCTCTACCAAGCACCCACCACAAGCATTGTATACTTAGTAGGAGGACAGGGAAGAAGTTACCGTTGTTTTGTGTTGATTTCCTTTTAAAATATCAGGTGCTTCTAACTCAGAAAATGTTTGACGAATCTGCTTCTCCAGGCTCCTCTGCACTGTCGCCTCCTGCCTGACTTTAATTGCTACCAACTATCTAGTAGCTTTGCCTAGCACTGCTAGCTGTTTTTTCTGCCTTATCCTTGGGTGGGGGCTCATAGGCCTGTGGGGAAAGGGAGAATGTCCGGATTTTTCGGTGAGGTTGCCTGTGTGTGAGAAATCACTGCTCATTTGTTCACAAGTAAAGGAAAATAAGATTTCAAACTTCATCGTATCGGTCCCTGCCACCCTAAATCCAAGTAACTATTTTAAAGGTAAGCCTGCTAGAGATAAAGTGCTAGTAAATTGAAGGCTGGCTCTGTGTGCAAAGCCTGATGTACAAATACTGTATTACTAGATAGTTCCTCGGTTAAAATTACATGACAAAATTAGAAGAAATTTTCTGTAGATTCTGTTCGTGTAGATACTTTTTGTGCCATAAGCCAGTTGAGCTGGGTGTCTGACAGCTCCGTGTCCTCTTCCTTTCATTCTTGCGACACATACTGATTGCCCTGGGTGTTGGTGACATGGAAATGAGCAACCATGGCAAAGCTCTGTATTTGGGACACACAATTGTGGTAGCAGTAAGATGGTAGATGATGTTAAGTGTAATGAAGATAAAGTCAGTTTGGGACACAGTGAATGCTGACATTTTTATTTGGGGCAGTGTGGGAGGCTTGCTGTTTTATATAAAGTGAACTGAAAGCTCAAGACCTGAAGGAAACAGAAGGAGGGGAAGAGTTGCAGAGGCACAGCCTGCCTGGAATAGTTAGAGAGCTGTGGCAGGTGAATCTGCTGTGGCTGGAGCAGTGTGAGCAAGCAGGACAGGAGTGATCAGTTTGCCGGTAAAAGAGCAAGTATTATAGAGTCTGTAGAAATTCTGGCGACTTTGGCATTTCACTATGTGAAATGGAAAGCCCTTGCAGGATTTTTGACGAAAGATGTCCGATAATCTTTTTTTGAAAAAGAAGGCTGTCTCTGGCCACTGCTTAGAAATGATCAGAATGCGAGAGTAAAAGGAGGAAGAGTCAGGTCGTGGTTGCGGTGATACATCTAGAGGCGGTAGTGACTTGAACCAAGCTGGGAGTGGGGTTAGGGGGGCGCTAAAGAGGTGCTATAGCAGCTTGCTTGAAGTGGAATCTAAAAATTCCCCCACTGATGGATCAGACTTAGAAAAGCAATCCCTCCTGTAACCTGTGTTCAGCTTGCTGCCTACGCCCTTCATAGAGCCTTCATTTTTTTTTTTTAAGATAATTTATTTGAAAGAGAGGGCAATTTGATCTTCCCCCTGTTTACTGAGTCACTCCATAAAAGTCCATGAAAATTGAGGTTGGGCTGAAGTCAGGAACCTGGATCTCCCACACTAGCGACAGGAACCCAGGTACTTGGGCCGTCACCTGTTTTCTTGTGGGAGCTCTAGCAGGAAGTTAGATCCAAAGTATAGTAGCAGTATAGCCTGGACTGCAGTCAGTCCTATATAGAAAGCAGCCTAACTCACTCTGCCACAACACCCACCCTATTCTATTGTGTGTCTTGCTGTTCCTTGATGGTGCCTTTTTTCTTTCTTTCTTTTTTTTGGGGGGTCACTAGTCCCCACCTTTTTTCCTTCCTTCCTTTCTTAAAAATTTGTTTATATTGCAAATGTAGATTTAAAGAGAAGAGAAATAGATCTTCCATCTGTAGGTTCACTCCTCAAATGGCTTGCAGCGGCCAGAGCTGAGCTAATCTGAAACCAGGAGCCAGAAGCT